AAAGCTTCCCATAGTTCTTGACAAAGATCCTTGCCTAAATCTCTACTTTCAACTAACTAAATAGTTGAGGGAGTTTAGAAATGAGATGCTGGGTTTTTTCCTACCTCTTTTTATTTCTTTCTTTCTTATAGCTGCACTTGTCAGTTTCATAAGATATTCGCTCCCGAATTCAGTGCCTGTTTCTTTCTAGTCTTTCTCTGTCCTGTCAAAGTCCTAGATTTGCCTTTTATCTCTTCTCCAAAGCTGAGCTCTGCTGCCTCTATTTATCCAGTTTTCTCAAAGGGATTTACTTTCCCCAGTCCAATCAATGAGCAGCTACTCCTGTGACTTCACAAATTACCCAATGGTTCTCTGAGGAGGAGGGAGGGATGCCCTCTGCTCCCTTGTCCTCCTATCACTGATTTCCTCTCTCCATCACTCAGACCTCAAAGCAGGTTGACTACACTATGGCAAAGGCATTTCTTTATCCTTTGTAAAGATTTCTGATAATTCATTCCAATTTGGAAAGGCACATTCGCCTAGCTTCCTCCCCAGCCTTGAAGTTCATGTTACTGATCCTACCACATACACACTCCATGAAAGGGGGCACTCACAGAAGTCCTCTGGGGAGCCCCATTGCCCTGTTCTGCTGGGCCAGATCCTCTGGTCTCCCTCAGACAAAGCACAGGGGTTACCGCCTCTCTGCAGAGCAGTGCACACACTGAACAACTTCAGCTCTGAGAGGACGCAGTCCGAAGGGCTCAGCATCCAGGAAACCCACCCACCCAAAGTGATCAAAACTCCAAATAAATCCATCTTTCTCCATGGAAAAGTTGTACACAGGGAAAGCTTATAAGGATGTCTACCCTCTGTCAATGAAAGAGAAAAGTGCACAGCAGCTGCTCCCCCTCCCAGGTAACAATTATTTACACTGGGCCTGATACTAAAAGTGTTTTTATTAAGTACAAAAAATAGGATTAAGTGGTTGCAAGTGAAAACAGACAGGTCAAAGTAAGTTAGTACATTAACATGAATTGAGAAGGAATAGCTAGTTCTAATTCACCAAGGCTATGTCTAGACTGCAAGCCTCTTTCGAAAAAGAGCGTCTAGACTGCAAGCGGAACTTTCGAAAAAGCAAGCCGCTTTTTCGAAAGAGAGCACCCAGGCAGTCTGGATGCTCTCTTTCGAAAAACCCCAGTTTGCATTCAAGAATGCCTTTTTTCGAAAGAGCACTTTCGAAAAAAGGTGTTCTTTCTCATGAAATTAGGTTTACCGCCGTCAAAAGAAAAGCCACGTTCTTTCGATTTAATTTCGAAAGAACGCGGCTGCAATCTAGACGCAGGTGAAGTTTTTTCGAAAAAAGGCTACTTTTTTTGAAAAACCCCCTGAGTCTGGACACAGCCCAAGAAACTTATTACATTCAAGTTCTTACCCAAAACAGCAGTTCTTATTTCAGGTCTAAGCTTCAAATCAGAGTCAAAATCCTTTACTCTGACTTGGGTCTCCAGCTGTCTTCAAAGTTCTTTGTCTCGTCTCAGGGTGTGCCAGGCAGTTTCAAAAACAAGCTAAAGACAAAAGGCTGATAGTGTCCCATTGCTCAAATAGACTTATCCCCAGTGTGGAGATCTTTTGCTTGGCATCCCTCCCCCGCATGGAGAAACACCAGGTTCCAAATAGATTCCCTTGCCAGATGGCATGGTCACATGTCTTCCTAGGTCAGCCTCCCTTTGAACTTACAAGACAAACAGGGCTCTTCACAGATCATTGAGCTGATCACCAAGGCATTAGGTTTCCTGGATGCCAGCAATGGCTCTCAGCACATTTAAAACTATTAACAGATTCACACGTCCTATATCAGACAAGAATAACACATGCACCAGAACAGGGGATGCAGATCCAGCAAATTGTAACTGTAAAATGGATGTTACATATGACCCATTTTGCATAAAGCAGCTTTGAGTTACACCAATTGTGACAGACCCAGACTAGCTGGCTGCCACACACTAATGGAGGGAAGACATGCTGGGGCTTGGGTGAACGACTTTCTGTTCCCTGCATAAAGGAAAGCCCAAAACCTAAGGGCAGCATAATCAGGCAGGCACCTGGGGTCAGTTACAGCTTGCTAGGTGCTACAGGCTAATTAGACACCTGCAGCCAATTAAGGCCTGCAGTGCCGCTTTAAAAGGGCTCCCCAGGCAGGGAAGAGTTTAAGGAATAGACTGAGGGGCAGGAGGGAGGAAGTGGGTGTGAGGGAGACTGAGGCGTGGGAATGAAAGGAAAGGTGTTGGGAGGATTGTTTGGGGGAAGCAACCCAGGGAAAAACTGCTAGATTGTGAGAGGCAGTAGCTCTGCCTGTTGCTGCTGCCTTTAGGGTTCCTGGGGTGGAACCTGGAGCAGTGGGCAGGCCTGGGTTCCCCCAACATCTCAACCTGCCTCAAGAAGGGAGATCAGGACTCCAGAGGGGATTTTACCCCAGACATTGGCAGCAGCCTGTGATGGGCTTGGGTCAGCACGCGT